AAAAAAAAAAAAAACTTAAAGGGATCTAAAGATCTCAGCATAAAAGAAAGGATATAAATTCTTCCTTGTTTGGGTGCTTCATTTTCTTCTATATGGTTTTCTCTTCTACTGTTAACCACAGGTAAACATTAGTTTTCTCAGCAACCTATATACTTTTACCCTTGAGCATTTATAGGCTTTAATAGTAATTTTCTATTGTGCTTTATATTGCCATGGTTATTCAAGGTAAATATTTAGATAATTTTGTAATACATTGTATCTTTGTTGTATCTCTCTGGGCTCATCGTAGATGTTCAGGGAATAATTATTAATTGATTAACATCATCTTTTCTACAAGGAAAATAATACCAATATTAAATGACTTCTCCCAAATTGTTAATGGTTTCCTTTAAAATACTCAGAAATTTTTTTACATCACCTAAAATATGTAAGTAGTTTAATGAATTCCAGGTCATATTATAGTAATGACTTTTCTGTGAAACCAGGGAAGTGTAAACCTTCCTTTTAGGAGAATATACCCTAAATTATATTTGTTTTTATAGGTTTTGTGATTGAAGAGCAATATATATAGTAATATATTAATAATTTACTAATACTAAATAGCTTTGATTCTCCACAACATCAGGGGATTTACAATTTTAAAGTGTTTAGTAATTGATAAACCAGATCCATTTTGTTTATGTAAGACAGGAACTTAGAAACTAATATGCCTATGTTTAGAATTCAGGTTTAATTTTAATCAGTAGGCATTTGAAATACTATTTTTCATCTTATAAAAGGTTTTCAAATAGGAAGATATTTCTGGTGTTACAAGGGTAAAATCTGAAATAATCTGGGTAAATGTAGTTAGCGTATTTACCAATAACACTATTAAAATTTGTAAAAGTGAAGCATTTGTAGTATATATTTATTTCTCATTTTTAATAATCTTAATCCTAAAAACTTTCAAGGGTAAATCATTGTGGTGAAATACTGTCTCTTCTTAGAAACTTGAAATTTTTTTAATCAATACCCCAAAACTGAAGAAATAAATATAAAAATTTGGTATTCACTTTTATTCTCTTCTTGCTTCTCTTTCCCTGCCCCCAAAGCAGATTGCCAAACTGAGACAGCAGCTACAACGCAGTAAACAGAGTAGTCGTCACAGTAAGGAGAAAGATCGCCAGTCACCTCTTCATGGCAACCATATAACAATCAGTCATACTCAGGTAGGCTAACTTCTTCTTGTCCAGATTTGAATAATTACTTTTCGTTCTTTAAGGAGGAGAATTCATCATTTCAGCATTAAAAAACCATAAATCTTTAGCTTTACTAAATTACTAGTTTGTTAAATTGTTATAAAAAGATTGTTAAAAAGCAGTCAGGCGGCTGGACTTGGTGGCTCACGCCTATAATTCCAGCACTTTGGGAGGCCAAGGCGGGTGGATCATGAGGTCAGGAGATCGAGACCACCCTGGCTAACATGGTGAAACCCTGTCTCTACTAAAAAAATACGAACACAAGTTAGCCGTGGTGGCAAGCACCTGTAGTCCCAGCTACTTGGGAGGCTGAGGCAGCAGAATGGCGTGAACCCAGGAGGCGGAGCTTGCAGTGAGCCAAGATCATGCCACTGTACTCCAGCCGGGGCAGCAGTGAGACTCCGTCTCAAAAAAAAAAAAAAAAAAAAAAGCAGCCGGGGATGGTGGCTCACGCCTATAATCCTAGCACATTAGGAGGCCGAGGCAGGCGGATCACTTGAGCTCAGAAGTTTGAAACCAGCCTGGCCAACATAATGAAACCCCATATCTACTAAAAATACAAAAAAATTAGCCAGACTGGTGGTGGGTTCCTGTAATCCCAGCCACTCAGGAGACTGAGGCAGGAGACTCACTTGAACCCGAGAGGCGGAGGTTGCAGTGAGCCGAGATCATGCAACTGCATTCCAGCCTGGCTGACAGAGCGAGAGTCCATCTCAATGGATAGCCTTCTCTTAATAACAGATAAAACAGAGGATAGTGGTCTCAAGGATGATACTGACCTGGATTGAAACCTTTACTTCCTTCACTTATTGAGCAGCTATGGGCATTATCTCATTCAATCTTCCTAACAGTTCCTTTACCCATCTTTCTCTGTATCTCTATGTATTTTATCCCTATTTTACATATGAAGAAATTGAGGATTAACGTTTTTATTTTCCCCTAGAAATAATTACTAACATATCCCATGGAACCAAATAGTCATGTAACAGAAGAAACCCACGCCGTATATCAAAACAAACCCCGATTAGAGTTTGTTTCACAAAGATAAGGATGATTCAACATTAGGAAATGTATTAATTTAGTTCATTGCATCAGGAAACCATAGTAGAAAAAACATTTGATTTTTTAGATGCTGAATTACACTTGATAAAAACTCAGTATCATGTGATTAAAAAAAAAACTCTCTTACTAAAAATAGGATATTTCCTAATGTGACTAACTGCAAATACAGTAAGATCCTAACAATAAAATATTAGTAGCGTAATTGTTAAAAAATCAAGTCAAGGATGTCTGTAATTATTGATATTATTTTCTAGTGGTTTAGAGGTTCTAGAACAGGGCAGTAAGGAAAAGAATTGTTACTACTTACATAGGATATTATATATTTAGAAAATCAAAGTGAATTAACTAGACTATTAAAACAAATGATAGGATAGCTAAAATGAAAAATACTGACAATACCAAGTATTGATGAGGATGTGGAACAACCAGGACAGCCATACATTGCTGGTGGGAACACAAAAAGGTACAGCTACTTTGGCAAACATTTTGCCATTTTCTTAAGAAGTTAAACCTATGCTGACCATTCAACCTAGAATTTTCACCCTTTGGTATCAATCCATGAGAAATAAAAGCATATGTCCACACAAAGACTTGTACATGAATCTTCTCAGAGGCATTATTCATAATACTAAAAAAAATGGCTCTCTCACCACTCCTGTTCAACATAG